GAGACCCAAAATCCGTCTCCTGGGGACCTCTGGCCTCCTGGGGATCTCTGGCTTCCTGGGGATCTCTGGCTGGCATCTGAAGGCTTTAATCCGAAGGCTCCACCTGCTCACTTTTCTCTCTAGGCTCCTCTTTTTCATGCTTCCAGCTCATCCAACACACTACTCACATGGGGCCATTGGCTTCTTCCTCTTCAGTTAGATCCCCTCTAACTGGAATACTCCTGTCTCTTTGTTCCCGTCAAACTCCTACACATCCTTCAAAGCCCAGCCCCAGAGATCCCTCCTCTAGGAATTCTTTCCTACCCTAACTGCCCCTTATTCTGGGTCCTCACAGCACCCCAGGCACACCTCCATCACAGCTCCAGAACTACCTAGGGTGTGACAGTTGAGCATCCAGTAAAAAGTGGGTGGTTGAAAGGAACCAGACTCACTTCTAGAAGCATCTGCAGTCAACCTAGTACTGAGTTTATCTGCAGTTTCCGCCAGCCCCCTGAGTCTTCCCCTCCCTGACACTTCTTCTCCATCTCGCAAAAAATAGCCGTGAGACCTAATTTCAGCTAAACCTTCAAACACAACTCTCCACTTTCAACTTTCCAAGGAGGAATCAATTGGCTGTCAAGTTTCCCAGAGCCTCTGACACTCCTCCCACACCCCGGCCCTGCCGGCTCTCCTCAAGGTCGGCTCTCCTCAAGGTCGACGGGAAGGATGGTGGGGGGCGGGAGGACCCAGCCCACACCCGGAGAGTGCGGGCCGGGGAAGCCAGTGGGCTGAGGGGACTCAGGGGGGGACCTTAACAGTCACCATCTCCTTACCCCCAGATTAAACCATGAATTCGTCTAACATGGGGTGGCAGGTAAGAGCACACTGCTTTTGCTGAGGGTCCCTGGGCCTCGGGAAGGGGAGTGGAACTGTGCAGATCCAGGCCCCCCAGGGCCTGCCTTCCTACCCTCCCTTTGGCCCGCTCCCCCTTCCAGGGTTCCCTGTTAGTGCAGTGAACACAGACCTCAGTTTGAATCTCAGCCTCACCATCTCCTTGGAGCCTGAGGGCTGAAGCCAGAGAGGGCAGGGAATCCCCTTTGTCACCTGTTTCCAGCTCACTTCTCCATTCTACCCTCATCCAGGGTGCCCCACAGCTCTCAGGGGCCAAGCACCACGTGGCCCTGGGGAAACCACTCTCCGACCCCCTAACTTGACCTGAAGGTGGAAGGAGGTTGCACCTGGTGGGCAGAAAGTTCCATATCTCGCCCAGGTCACCAAGCTGAGAGGTTCAGCCTCAGGTTTGCTGACTTTACAGCTTATTCGTTTAGTTCCTGCTTCAAAACATTTCAGTGCCAACTGTATGCCCAAGCCACACACTGCCTTACAAAATCCACTCTCCTCATTTCACAGAAGGGTAAACTGAGGCTCTCCCAGGGTCCCAGTCTCCAAGAGGGAGAGGTATAGCCAGCACCAAGATTCTGATGTCCTGTGGGGTGGCTGCAGTCCTAGGCTGGCCCACCAAGGGGTAAGAGCCACCTGTAGGGATGCAAACAGCCCCGACTCAGAAGTCACCAGGTGGGTGGTGACCTTGGACAATCCAGCCCCTCAATTTTCATGGGAGAGGGAAAGAGAATGAGTTCTACAGACCCCAAAACGCTGATTCTCCATTAAACTACATGGTCGCAAAGGGGCGCGTGCTTCTGTGAGAGGCAGTGACATCCCCTCACCCAAGTTTGAAATGCAGCGAAGGCGGCAGGTATTCAGGTTCGCCTCTGTTGCCTCTCCTGCCTCCCCAGGCGACACCACGTTCCCCAGTCTCCCCTGGGGGGCTGCACAGCGCCGCAGTCAGCTAAGCACTGAGGAGATGGCTTGCGGGAGCACATGGGAGCTGGAAGGAGCTCCAGCTGAGGGACAGAGGGCGGCTTCTGGTCTGCGAGGGCTCTGTGTGCAAGTCTGTTCCCAAGGCCCAGACCAGGACCACCTCTGACCTTCCCCTGCAAACACCCACCCTGCCCTCTGCTCTCCACTCCGACCCTCCCCAGATCTCTACCCTTCTAGAGCCAACAAGGGAAACAATCAGAGTATAACGATAAGCCCTGGCTGATGTGGCTCAGTGGATGGAGGGCCAGCCTGAGAACCAAAAGGTTGACGGTTCGATTCCCCGTCAGGGCACGTGCCTAGGTTGTGGGCCAGGTCCCCAGCTGGGGGTGAGGCAACCAATCGATGTTTCTCTCTTTCTCTTTCTCCCTCCCTTCCCTTCTCACTAAAAGCAAATAAAATTTTTTTTAAAGAGTATAATGATGGATTTCATTTATTAAGCACCTATCAAGGGTCAGACCTGCACTGACGTGAAAATCTAGCACGGTCCTTTGAGGAAGGCATTCTACGCTTCGCTGACCAGGACGGGAGCCTCAGAGGAACTCAATGACTACTGAGGTTAGACAGGTCACTGAAGGGCTGAGATTTGAACCCACATCCCCACCTCTGATCTTTCCAGTCCCCCTCCCCCAGCTCCTAGCACTGGTGCAGGACAGAAACTCAACTCACACCCAGCTCCTTAACTGCCGCACACAGGGAAAGACCAAGGCGCTCGAAGAAGTATACAAAGCACAATGTCCAACAGTCCTGGCATCCATGCATGGTTATGTCACTGAGAAGCTGTGTGACACCAGGCAAATGACTTCACCTCTCAGCCTCAGTTCCTTCATCTGTGAAACAGGGATATTAATAGCACCTCCCCGCTGGGGAGCAGTAAGAAGCGGGTAAATGGGGATTGAGCACAGTTTCCATCACGTAGACCCTAATTGGACAGGCGGGCCCAGGAGTCCCGGGGGCCTGGCAGTTGAGAGGGCTGGCGCTGGCTCAGATCCACAGGTGGTTTCCACGCCAGGAACAGAGTGAAGGCGCCACTACAGGAAAAATGCCAAGGCTAGCTGGTAATTAAAGAGCTGCAAATTATAGCAACTTCAAGGTGTGAAGACACACCTATTAGAGCAGCAAAAGAAAGGGAAATGGGTAAAAAGCAAAGCCATGGGGTGCAGGAAGGAGGTGGGGACAGCAGGTTCTCTCCACAGCCAGAGGAAGTGCATGCTCGAGCTCTGGGATCAGAGGGACCTGGGTCCCAATCTTGGCTCCACCATTATTAGCGGTTGGCACTTGGGTGACTTCACCTCACTGAGCCTCTGTTTCCCCATCTGTAAAATGGGGTGATCCAACTATCAGCTGCAGGGCTGTCTGGAGGATTCGAAGAGATCATGTAGGTAAGGCCCTGATCACAGCACAGGCGGCTATGTTGTTATTAGTCATTGTTCCCTAAGGCCCCCTCAAGGCTCAGCTCCAGCTGCTGTGGCTCCAGGGGGCCAGGGAGGGCAGGACCCAGCCCCTACTCCAGTTGACTTGAGTCAGGGACACCTAAGAAGGGGACCCTGAGTCCTCTCTCACCGCACGCTTCCCTTTTCTCTCTCCCTTTCCTCCCAGAGACTGAGCCAGAGGCTGGGGCTCAGAACCACTTCTTGGGGGAGCTTGTTAAAATGCAGATACCCAGTCCCTGCCCCTGCTCCTACCCCACTGCACTGAAATCTTGAGGGGGCCCAGGAATCTATTTTGAAAGCATCTCATGGCATAGATCCGCGAAAGAGAATCAGTGGCCCTTAAGAAGGCCCCATCCCCTTAGCCTGGCACTCAAAGGCTCAGCCTGGTTTTCCAGCCTCCCCTCCCACCCTGTCTTGCAGGCATTTCAACTCCAACTCCACCATCCCACCGACAGGTCCATTTCTAGTGGGCCTCCATGCCTTCGCGACTGATCTTGCCCCTACCCGGAACTCCCTCGCACTGTCTCTGCCTACGCAATTGCTCGTGACCCTTTAAGGCCCAGCTTAGAAGTCAGCTCCCGGGGGAAGCCCTTCTCAACCCATCAGGAACAGCTGGTCACTCCGAGCTCACCTGAACCCCCATATCACAGTGCACAGCGACAGCCAGGCTGGGGCCCTCTCTGTTCCCTCCATCCAAGCCTCTCTCCCCTGCTCCCCACAGGGCTGGCTCCGCATCCCTTGGGCCTCCGCCCCGACTGCACCACTTCAAGGGAGCCCTCCTGGTTTACTGGTGTTCTCTTGTATAGCACGTAGGCCCCGCATGAGAGCATGAACTCGTAAGGTCAGGGGCTCCATCTCGCTGGCGCTGCCTTGGCCAGCCCCTCCCACTCACCAAGGATGGTCCATGCCTGGCACACAGCAGGGACACACCACAACTGTTGAATGAATGAATAGACAAACAAATGATCGAAAATCCCTCTCCTTTACAGATTATGAGCTCCCAGGAGAAGAAACCCCCCTATGTCTACCCCTCCGGGTGTCTGGTGGCTGGCAGAGCACTGGATGGGGGACGCAGGGTAACATGCTAAAAGGGGGCGCAAAGGGACACAAAGCTGGCTGTGCGTGCGCAGCAAGGAGGGTGGGGACACAGAGGGGCGTGGAGCGTCAGACATTAAGGGTCACTGGGTTCTGTTTCTGCAAAGTTGTTTAGGTTTGTGCTAGTGGGACCGCTAAAATCAATAGCTAAGATATATGTACTGTGTTGTGTTGATTCTAAGATGCCATCAATTTTAAAATACAGCATTATTTTATATGCCATCAAGAAAAAAAATAGCAACTGTATTATGACACATCATGGACTGTAACATGAGAGATATTAAAACGTGGAAGCAAAAATTGAGCGACTCAAGAGTCAGGGGAGCCTGGCGTGCGTGTGCACACATGAGGGTGCGGTTACCTGGCCTAACACCAGCCTCCCTCTTCCCAGCTCAGGTCTGGGCCCCTCGGCCTGCAGGGTGTCTGTCCTCCACCTGCCCCCCCTCACAGGGTGGGCCCCCCATGTGGCCCCCAGGGGCGGGGCTGAGCCACAGAGAGGGGAGCAGCTGAGCGATTGGATACCTAGAACAAGGGAGGCCGGATGCTCTCCCGGTCCGTGAGGCTCCAGGAGCAGCACCCCAGGCCAGACGGCGATGGTGACGCAGAGATAGTTACCGTGACCCGGAACGGTGTAGCGGCTGAGGGCTCCATGCTGGGGCTCTTCTCCGAGAGGCTGCCGGGCAGGCTGCGCCGGGAGCCTGGCCTTTCTTGGGGCGACTCTGTCAACAGAGGGAGAGAGCAGGTAAGCGTGGGCAATCGAGGCCATCCAGTCTGTCCCTCCTGCCCTTCCATCCTGGCCAGAACAACAGGTCCCCATAAAATAGTACAGCCACTGTAGGAAACGGTTTGGCAGGTCCCCCCAGATAATTAAAGACATAGTTATCACATGACCCAGCAATCCAACTCCTAGGAATATAGCCCAAGACTCAAAAACAGGGACACAGACAAACACTTGTATGCAGATGTTCACAGCAGTGTTATTCACAACAGCCAAAAGGTAGTATTAACCCAAGTGTCTCCATTGACAGACGATTGGATAAACACAGCCGGGTAGCCACCCAGTGGAACGTTATTCCATTGTAGAGGCCTGATACATGCTGCAATGTCATGAACCTGGAAAACATGCTGAGTGACATGATCCAGACACAAAAGGACAAATATTGTGCGAATCCACTTAGATGAAATACCTAGAATAAGCAAATTCAGAGATAGAAAGTAGATGAGAGGCTACCAGAGGCTGGGGATGGGGAAGGGGGGTGGAGGAGCTGGGGGAATAAGGAGTTACTGCTTAACAGATGCAGAGTTTCTGCTTGGAGTGATGGGAAAGATTTAGAAAGGGACAGTGGTGACGGCTGTATAACACTGTAAAGATACTTGATGCCACTGAATTGTACACTTAAAATGATTAAAATGGCAAATTTTAGGTAATAAATATTTAGCCCAATTTTTTTAAAAAGTCTCCCAAAACCCGTGCTTCAAGCCATCCATCTTGAGACGCAATGAGCTCCCTGTTACTGGAAGCATACAACCTTTCGGTCAACCTTTCGGTTCTCCTTTAAACATGAGAACCTGTGATCTCTGGCTTCCAATTCGGACCTCCTTGTTTATAGGCTTTAAACCTGAGAGAAGCTCAAGGGCCTGGTAGGTTATGGAACCAAGGGCAGCAGCCTGCTGCTCAGCCAGCTCCAGCTGGTTATTCCGGCCTGGCCGTGGGGGGCCCAGTGCAGCTGTAGCTCCCCGCCCCCCCAGTTCAAGAGAAGCTGGAAATCTGGGGTATTTTTAAATATGAAATATTCTGATTTTTAAAGGGTGACAGCTCATTCAAAACTCTTAGTCACGGCCTGAGCCTGCCTGTTTAAAACCTCCCAAGCCAGTCCAACCTGGCTGCTTTCCTCACTGGTTCCCCCACACCATGCTGGGCCCTGGCTCTCTCTCCTCCACTGATCCGGGGGGACCCCACAGAAGACGCCCTTTCTCCTCCTCCCACCCTGACCCACCCTGACCCACCCTGCAGGCCTTGGTGGGGACCCTTTGTGGTGGAGAGAGACTCCTCAGCTTGACTGCAGAACTTCCAACAAGTCCCTAGTGTTCTGCATGGAGCCTGCTTTCTGGCAGGTGCTTGGGAAAGACTTGTTGACTCAAAAGGAAGAAAAAGAACAGGGCGGAGCTTTCCCTGGCACGTGTGAATGCGCAAAGGTGCAGTCAGAGGCGCACGCCCAGCAAACACACTCACGCGCGTTCACACCCGTGCAGAAACCCCAAGGCGTACCAGCTCAGACCCACTCCCAGGTACACATCCGTGTGTGGACGGTGCACATACACAGGGCAGATGACGGGGAGCAGGCTTTCCTAGAAGGCAGATGGGCTACTGGGGGCAATGTCCACGCTTTCCGGTCCATTTCCTGCCTGTGGCCGATCAAACAGGGGGCCTCAGGAGCATGAAAGGACAGAACTGAGCCCCTCACCCCACTAGGACAGGCTCTGGTGCTGAGCTCTGGCAGAGGGTCTAGGGGAGGCGGGCCGCTGGCAGGGACAAGTTCAGGCCCAGCTGACTGCCAGGCAGGCCTGCGGCAGGGGCTGCTCCAGGTCCAGATGCAGACTAGCCATTCCTGGGCCAGGCGTTCCTGGCAACTTCCTCCCCACGACCTCTCCTCAGCCCCGTGACCACTTCTCTTATCGTGCTCCCTACTGAGACCCTTCCTTACTCCTCCCCCATGACCCCTGCCAGTCTCACCTCACGGGAAAACCCACTTTTTCTGGGGTTTCCCTAGCAACCCTCTTTCCACGTTCTCAAGTCTGCCTTCACCTCTCCCCCGCCCCCAGCACCCACCTGGGTCACCCGCATAACCACTGTGTCCTACCCACGTGTGAGGCACTGTGCTCAGCCTCCACAAGCCTCTCAGGACACACACACACACACCCCCCACCACCATCCCCCCCCGCCCCCGCCCACACTGCCCTTTCCCGGGAGGGGAGGCCATCATAGTTCTAGGCAACAGACACAAGCGGTCACCTGGTAAAACAGTAGGGGCCCAATACCGCTGCCTCTTCTCTGAGACCAAGTCTGGTCAATCTGTGCAGAGTGCCTCCTGCCTCTAGCTTCCTAGGTTCTCAGGGGTGGCTTGGTCCAACCACCCATCTTACCCGTGAGGAAGCTGAGACCAGAGGAAAGGAACATGTCCATGAGCCCCTGACCCAATAGATCTACAGAAAAATCATCTCAGGGTCTCCCCAAAGGGCCTTAAACGTCAATTCAGAAGTGCTGGCTTCACCCCATCTACGTCGAAACGTAGAAAGGCAGGGAGGTGGCCGCAGGGCAGGACAGGGCAGCCAGGGCAGGCACGGCAGTCCACAGGACACGGAAGGGGAGCCTTGGTCCAGGCGGCTTCCACTTGGCCCCAGCTCCAATCTCCACCCTGCCTCCTCCCGCTCCAGGGGGCTGCTGACCGGCATAGGCCACACCACGTGAGCTCCTGGGCCCTCCAACTCCCACAGGGTCTGGCCCGTGGGAAACCCTGGTGGGAGACCGGGGAGGGAGCAGAGTCACCTGGGCTGGCCGCCTCCCTGTACGGACGGTTCCAGCCACGATCGATGATGCTGTCGCCTGGGCCCTCCCCTCCTCAGGGCCTGGGCGGACCAGCCCCAGCCGCCGCTAGCTCTGGGGTCCTGCACTCCTCTTCACAGTTCCCCACGCCCACCCACACCCCTTACCATCAGAGAGCAAGTGCCGCCTGCTTCCTGCGGGACCCCCACTGATCCACCAGGCGGCACCTCAGCTGCTGAGAGCCAACCAGTCCCCACTTGTGCAGCTGACGGAAACTCCTTTCCGTCTGGACGGGAAGCCAGGCCCCGAGAGAAAGCTGTGATGTGGTCACACTAAACATCAGGGGCAGAGTCTGAGCCCAGCCAGGCTCTCTCCCAGCCTGACACCCCAAACGGCTTTCCCAAGCCTGCCACCAACTCTGACTACGAAGTTCGTCATCATAACCTCATGGGTCCCTGGTTTCTGAACCAGCATTTCCCTACCTCATTATCTTTCCCCCTAAGGAGTCTTTTAAGATACATTTTCCCTAGTTTCCTTCCATAAAAATGTTTTTAATCCTCACCCAAGGATATGTTTATTGATTTTTAGAGAGAGAGGGAGAGAGAAAGCGAAACATCAGTCAGTTGAGACCTGTACATGCCCCAACCAGGGATGGAGCCCATAACCTAGGTATGTCCCCTGACGGGGGATCAAACCCATGACCTTTTGGTTTACAGGATGATGCTCCAACCAACTGAGCCACCTGGGCAGGGCACCACGCCCCATAAAATTTTAATATCACATATACAGTAAGTGTCTTTTATGCACTGTACATATATTGGGCTTTATATAAAAAAAAAGTGAGATTTTTGTGACCCCCCCCCCCACCAAGAACCGATTTTTTTGCCCGCTTGGGCCAATATTACCCCCTCTGAGAATGGACGTTCTGGACCCATTCAAACACGGTCCCCACATGACAACCTGGACCGTGTGGTGAGCTTTCCATTTTCCAGATGAGGAAACCGAGGTTCTGAGAGGCAAGTGACTTCCTCTAAAGTTCCCCCAGGTTAGAAGTAAGATCACATGCTGAAATCCCCTTAAACTGTTCCCCTCATGCCCACATTTAGGGCCTCGGAGAAGGCTAAGGGTACCCGGAGCAAGAGGTGGGGAGAGGAGCCCCAGGCTGGAGTAGGAGACTCCGCTGTGCGCCTCAGGCCAGCCCCTCTCCGCCTCTGAGCTCATGATCTATCGGCAATGCAGTGAGTCAGGGAGTCTGAGCAGTAACCGTCTCTATTCCCCACCACCAAAACAACAACAAAAAACTCTTTATTTTACACAGGCAAAGAAGATGAAAAGTTGACCCCTGCGTCCTAACTCTGCCTCCAGGGATTTAGCCCAAGTGCTTGAAAAAACACAGCTGCCTTTGGCCTTTGATTCAGCAACGTGTCTCATCTAACCCAGGGAGGCAGACACTGTGAGGCTTGGGCCGCATGCCCCCAGAAGTCTAAGCAACACAGATGGTACAGCGTGAAGGTGGCCTCCCCAGGGACAGATCCCAGGAAGGGAGAACCGGCCAGCCTCCCAGAGTCTCCCTGAGACATTGGAGCACCAGCCCAGGAGCCTCCCCTCAGCTCAGACTATGTGACCTCCACATGCCCTCGCAGGCTTCAGTCTGCAAAATCAGGCCACAGAACCAGCTGATCCTGGATCCCCTTTCTGCTTAGAGGTCAAAAGAACCTCCGTTGTACCAGAAGGCCAAGCTGCCTTCCTGTTCTTGGAAACCACAGCCAGGGAAACGCATTTTAACCTTCAAATGTTCGCAAAAAAAAAAAAAAAAAAAAAAAAAGAATAAAATAAAATCGGTTTCATTCAAATGCTGCTGGCATGGTTGCCATGGATACCACCTAATCATGAAGGATGACTGTTACTTGTTCCCATGGAAACACAGAGACCTGAGGAACATCCTGTAATTTCAGACAAGACACCAAATTTTAGTTGTCGGGTTGCAATGCCCAGATCTTAATGCTTAAAAACAGGTAGATGCAGCAACCTCTACTACTGGCATCAGGAGAAAAGTCAGCACAAGTGTGGCAAGAGGAGGGGGGTGTGTGCCGGACTTCAAGAGTGACCAGGAAAATGCAAATTAAAACTAGCAGGTACCATTTCACACCTTCCAGATAGGCAAACATGAAAAAG